CTTCCCAGGGGCTGTGGCAAAATAAGATTATAACAGTGGAGCTACATAATTCTCAGAAAGGACAAACTATACCAGGGGACTAGAGGAAATGGATTTCTCTGAAGAGAATTTCTACAATTATGTCTGTGTAATTACAGAGCAGTGTATGTCAGTAGTTTGGGCTAAGCATGCTACAGGTATGCAACAGGTGAAGATAATGATGAATTGCCTAAATGACTTTGGAAAAAAATTCAAGTAATTTGAGATGAAATGTTTGTTTCATTGTAACAGTGAAACTTCACAATCTGAGATCTTCTAGACTGTGAAGTACCTCATTTTAAGAATAAGTGGACCAGTCTTTAAGTCATTAAGAGGTCAAGATGTCCTATAAATAATATACAGCCACATAGTCCAGTTGGCAAGGAAGAAAAGCAGAGTTAATATTGAAATGTTTAACAACTCAAATTGCACAGGTGGGAAATGAACAGAATCATACATTCCATTGTACGGCTGTGCAACAACTCAAAATCAGCCCTGGAAAAAAGCAAGATGCTGAGGAGGGCTTTCTGTTTGTGAGAAACCAGTAATGGGAAGAGTATATGAATGAGAGGATGTGTGTCTTTTTTACATATATTTGCATCTGCAGCATTTACCACTATACATAAGAAATTGGTGACAGTGGTTGCCCCTACAGAGGAAAAGTAAGGTCACCATGTAGTTTGTTGCTTAAAGCAAGCCAATTTAGAGAGTAAAAGGGAGCATTGCTATTATTCTAGGTACTATAAACTCACAGTGTACTGATAAATCAGGATATGTCACTGGGGGGGCTAAGTTGAGAGGTTAGAAAGTTATACTTTCCTCTTTACCACGAACTGACACATTGCTCCTACTTTTTTTTTTTTAAGTAAAAAGAATCCTAGGGAATGGAATGGATATTAAGTGCAATGAAATAGGAATGTAAGAATATGAATTTTGAAAATCAGGGCTGGAGATGTAGCACAGCAGGTTAGTATTTGCCTAGCATGCACGAGGCCCTGGGTTTGATCCCTAGTACCACACACACACAAAAAATCTTTTCTTTTCTATCATTATCATTAAGGAAAAAGCATCTAGCTGTTCTCATTACAAAGGAATCTGAGAGTTGAAAATCTTATCTAATGAACTCATTAACAGGTGTAGTGTTCAAACAGACGCTGGAGGTTATAATTAAACAGTTGTAGAGTTGAGGTTGCTGAGTTGCCAGGCAGGTCTGAAGCTAAGGTGCCCTTTTCTGTTCCTCTGGAATTCTCCAGAGGAACTCGCTCATTCTTTCCCTGTCTTTCAACGTTCAAGGAAAAGTTTCAGAATGTGGGGAAACAAAACTCAAACTTTGTAACTTTATTACGCTATTCAGGAGAGTGTTCCAGTTATGTTGATCTAAAATTAGGTCATACGGCAGTGTACCCCCTCCCAGCTCAGCAATAAAAAATAATAATAATAAAATAAAATTAGGACATACTCTTTGTAACTTCAGAATTTGGTCATCTGGAGAAAATGATGTCATGGAGCTAGAGAATTAGAAACGATGGCAGAAAATCAGTGGATATGTATTGCATGCAATTCTTGATGTAAAACTTTAGTTGCACTAACCCATGTAATCTTCATCAAAGAAACAAACGAACCAGATGAAGTGGTTCACACCTGTAATTCCAACTGTCAGAAGGCTGAGCCAGGAGGATCAAGAGTCTGAAGTCAGCCTGAATTATGTAACGAGACTACATCTTTAAACAAAAAAGTCACTGGGAAATATGACTATCATTTTCAGTTTAGAGATGAAGAGAACCGAGCCTCAGAGAGGTTAAGTGACTGCTAAATCACATGGTGAGCAAGTGGAAGAGTCAAGGTTTAAATTTAAGTCTGTAACTTCAGAGCCTGCGTTTTAACCTGGACCTTGCAGGGCCCCTGGGCTTGGGTTGGCAGCCAAGGGAACTAAGTTCCATTTCCGAATCTGCAACTTCCATATTTTCTAAACTAAAAGCATGACGAGGACTTTGACAATGGGCTAAGGTATTTCAAGGGTTTTCCCCCATAAATCCAAGATGAGATGCCATGAAGACATAGCATTCTGTTTCCCCACCAAATGCAGTAAGGGAGATGAGAGAATTTTTAAGGTTTCTTTTATATATAAAAAGCAGAAATTCTCTTATGTGTTGATACTCTTTAAGGTGCATCATGAATGGAAGCTTGTTTATTACTCTCATTATGGAGGAAACAAACTGGTTTATGTTTCCTGACCAAGATTAAACAGCTGGTAAGCATCAACCCAGGCCACCTGGTTCCCAAGTCTAGGCACTTAACAATTTGTTGTGCAAAATTATATAAATCTAAAATAAATTATAGATCTAGAATATAAATTACAAAATACAGAGAAGGTCTAGAATCAAAGAAATCTCCCTCAAAGATGGAATTCCTTCCAGGTAGGGATCTTAGTTTTGTATATGGTCTTTTTTTGGTACGCGTCGTGGGGTTTGAACTCAGGGCTTTGCATTTGCAAAGCTTGGTTCTACCACTTGATCCACACCTCTGGTCCATTTTGCTCTGATTATTTTGGAATGGGGGCGTCTCACAAATTATTTGCCCAGGCTAGCCCTGAACTGCAATCTTCCTGATCTCAGCCTCTCAGGTAGCTAGGATTGCGCCCAGCTGTTTGGTCCTTCTTTATTGTTGTTTTGTTTGGTTTTGTTTATTTTTTTGGTGCTGGGGATCGAAACCAGGGTCTTGCCTGTGCTAAGCATGTGCTCTGCCACTGACCTATGGCCCCTGCCTCAGGATTTGGTACTTTTTGTGCTTCTGTGCTAAGGATCAGAGTCCTCTGCATCGATATCCTGGGAGGTTCAAAGAAGGACCCATTCTCTCCTTTTTCCTCCGCCAAAACCCAAACTATTCCTAGTTCTGCTAGTCTCCTGCCTGTCGCCTTTGGGTTCTGCTAGAGGACTTGAGGAAATTGTGGGGATAGAAAAATGGTAAGGGGAGTCAAGATGGAAACAGGGAGATCTGATTCAGATGGAAGGGAGTAGACTAAAGGCACAAAATTCATGTTAGAAACTGCTGCTCTCATTAGGTTTTCCCCTCTTGCCAAGTCCTTCACCCTCCACTCTGCAAATGCACATGCACTTCAGAACGGATACGTGCTCGGCCCAGACCACCATCTCTCACCAAATTAGTGTGTGCAGTATTCAGCTCAGTGCCAGCCTTTATTCCCCAAACACATCCCAGAATTCCAAGGGTGCCAGGCCCTGGTATAGGTTTTGTGGGGAGACAGAAGGAAGGAGATGATTTTTGGATTTGGGGGCCCTTGATAATCTTGAGTTTGCCTTCCTGCGAGCCCTTAAATATGCTACTTAGCAGTTCTAGTAATGTTTCCTTAAACAAAGCCCAGGCTGGGGGTCAGGCAGGCATTTGACAAATTCTGTCTCTAATGTACATGACAATTCTGACAACTGTGTGTTTTATCCCCATTTTATAAATGGTGCAACTGAGGTTCCATTAATGGAGCTCATTCCATAGCACCCTCCTGCTGTCTCAGCCTCAATTTCCTTTCCTGTGAAATGGAGTTAAATACTGCCTTCTGTTATAGCTGCTGTAAGAATGAGATGAGGAAATGTAGAATCAAGCACACATATTGGCCCACTGCATGGGGGTTCTTAGTGCTATGAGAGGAACTAACAAAGAGGTGTGTGAAAGCGCCTGAAGTACTACATGAGTCCAGAGGAGGGGGCAAACGTTCCCAGCTGGACAGTATCTGATTTTGTGACATTTGAAAGATTAAATATTTTTGAATACATGGCAATTACTAGTGAGCCATGAGAAATAGAAAGACATGTCAAGCATGAATACAGTTTTGGTTATATAAATGTGTGTGTGTGTGTGTGTGTGTGTGTGTGGTAATGTAGCTCAGCCTGTCCTGCTGCCTCAGCCTCCCAAGAGCTGGGATTTCAGGTGTGTGTCACCACACCCAGATTCGGTGATTTTTTTAAGCCTCAAAGTTTCAAATATTTCTAAAAGAACTAGAAAATTTCTACTCTTTGCTTCTGAGAGAAAGACCAAACCCACCATTAATTCTCCTGGGTTAAACAGGATTATCCTCACAGAGAAAGGTGATAATTGCTCTCTTTGCTAAGTAGCAGCCTAATTCTAGGCAAGGAAGGCAGAGACTATTAGCAAGACCTTATCATTATAGAGACAAGATGGGGACAGAAAAGGTCTGTAAAAGACACTTCCCACCCAGACCCTACTGCTTCCTTGCTCTTTTCCCTGTGTGGCTAGGCAGCGTGTCTGGATCCTCTAGAAAGGACCAACTCTAAAAGCAAATCCACTCTGCCTGCAATCTATACACAGATGAGACATTAGCACTCAGTATTTATAAAAGATTAGAAAACCCCACTCTATTACTTTCATATCAAAAGTTCTCCTGCTGAATCCCCTGATAGCAAGAAGACCTATCATGTGAAGAGGAAGGAGAAAGCTCTTGCCAAGCACAGGGATACTAAACGTGGCCATGCTGTTGCTGGGTAAAGCACGCAGCCTGAGTTTACAAAAGAGCATACTTTCATTTTTTAAGTGTCATTTTCACTTAAGAGTCTCAATTGTAAAATATGCAAGAATTCATTTGTTAGACACTTCCATATGTTTTCAAATGAAAAACAAATTAGATCAATATCAAATCAGAGCAAATCCAACAAATTAGCTAAAGAAACAGTGAGAGGAAAGAGAAAGGACAAGCTGTTACTTAAGCAAAAATGGGCAAGCCACTGTACAATGAGCCAAAAAAAAAAAAAAAGTATATGCACAACAATAGCCCTCCCCTTTCAAGAAACTCTCACAACTTATTTTGCCACAGAGGAACTTCAGTGTTACATTATTTTGCTAACCAATCAGCAATGCTGTGGGCCTCAAACCAGGAAGCCTTTTAAGGTGTAGCATTTTAAACTTGCAAGTTAGACTTCTGGCTCTCAGCTAGTGTTTGTTCCTTATGCTTGTAGGATAGAAAAGCAGATGTGAAGTCCCTCATGGCGAGGTTTGACACTGGGGGCAACCTGACAGAGGAGGTCTCAGTCAACAGCCGGCCTTTCAAAGTCACAGGGCAAAACTCACCTTCAGGAATACAAGCGAGAAAAAACCTATTCAACAACCAAGGAAATGCCACCCCTTCTACAGGACCTGGCAACATGCCTAAGATTGGGACTCCAAAGCCACCTTTGGCAGTGAAACCTACTTTTGAGGAAACGCCTGACAAAGAGCCCAAACCCCCATTTTTAAAGCCTAGTGGAGTGGGCCAAAGATTTGGAACACTGCCAAACTCAGCCACCAGAGAACCTGAGGTAAAAGCAGGATTTCTGAAACCTGTAGGCCCCAAGCCCACCAACCTGCCCAAAGAAGATTCCAAGCCTGTGTTTACCCGGCCTGCTGGGAACAAGCTGTTAATTCACAGTATGAACCAAGATCAAGACTTAAAGACACCAGGCCCAAAGCCTGGACCTGCTCCTCCAGCCCCGGAAAATGAACAGAGGCAAGCATTCCCAAAGTTGGCTGGGACTAAAGGCAAGTTTATGTCAGCATCACAAGATCCTGACTCCAAAACCCTCTTCCCCAAACCTGCCTTTGGCCAGAAGCCATCCCTGAGTACTGAGGATGCTCATGAAGATGAGAGACCCCCCAGGAATGTGTCTGTGCAGAAAGGACCCCCAGCACCTCTAGGAGCCAAGTCTAAGAGTGGCCCTCTAAAACCAGCAAGGGAAGACCCAGCAAATAAAGACCATGAAGGTGACACATCAAGTTCACCATTTCCTGGAGTAGTTCTAAAACCTGCTGCAAGCAGAGGAAGCCCAGGCCTCTCTAGAAATAGTGAAGAAAAAAAAGAACATAGGAAGATAGATGCTACTAAGAACATCTTCCTGAGCAAGATGAATCAGGATGAGCCTGCCACAGGGGCTCCTCCTGGCAAGTTCGCTAAGGTCCCTTCCAAGGTGACAGTGGGCACACCATGGGGTCAAAGTCAAGAAAAGGAAAAAGGAGACAAGAATTCATCCACCCCAAGGCAGAAGCCATTGCCCCCATTGTCTACCTTGGGTCCACCTCCACCAAAACCCAGCAGACCACCCAGTGTCGACCTGACAAAATTCCGCAAAGCTGATTCTACTAACAGTGAGTTACTTTCTCATTACTAATCAGTATGGTCTGTTCCATAGCAGAAGATATTTTAGCTTCTGGGAGAAAATTTGTGGCAAGGAATGATTCTGTAAGTGGTACTCATATGTAGGTATGATGGATTTTCTTTGGCATTTTTTTTTTCTTTTGTGTGGGAGGTCTCAGGAAGTAAGAAGTCTGAGTTGTATGTAAGCATTCCGTGAGAAAATGCCTTGGTGAGCTGGGTTTTTTTGGGGAAGGAAATACATCCATTTGATTGATAAGTGGTTTTGCCTAATGATACCATTGCATTTACTTCCTTAGTTGGGTTTCATTTTTGTTGAATGAGATTCAGGTGTTACTCCTACTGTCACACAGGAGTTGGAAAAGTAAGCAAACATTTAAGTCAGTAGTTCTCAAAAAGGGACAATTTTGACAACTGGGGGACATTTGATAATGTCTGGAGGCAGTTTTGATTGTCACAGCTGGAGGGTGCAACTGGCATCTTACCAGTAGAGATCAAGGATGCAGTTAAACATCCTACATTGCACAGGACGGCCCTAATTGTAAAGAATTATCCAGCCCAAAGCAGAGGCTGCAAAACCCTCTTCTTAATCATTTCAAGTATCAACATCATTCATCACATTTCCTGAGCCAATATTCAAATAGGAGAGGAACAGGACTCTTAAGAGGTTCAGATGTCATATTATATGTTTTTTCTTTATTTCTAAACATTTCTAGTACATAGCTATAAACTAGTATATAGTTATAAAAATAAGCCAGACAAAGAAGTGCATTATTCTCCTTGCTAGAAAATAGTTTAATTTTCTACCAGAGATGTCACTGCAATACTATGGCATGTGGTATAATTTGCTATTGAATGACTTGGTAAAGGTTTGTAATCCTGCATTGTGATGAGAGAACTCACTTGTGTCTGAGATGATTAATATTTTTGGCAACTGTTGTTTATCTTAAGGTAGAAAAGGGATGCTTACAAGTAACTACCAGTCACATTTGTCTCCTTACAAATTCTGATGTAATTAAAGCAGTTCTAGAGAAAACACATCTTTCATTTTGCTCTGTGGAGCCAATTTGCCATGAGTCTGCTTAAGATCATCAGTACTTGTTGATAAACAGATTAGTGACCAAGACCTCCATTAAGAAAGCAACTTTGGAACAACCCATGATTAGCAATTTTCCTGAGTCAGTCTTGTTACACATGGTGTCGCCTCCTCATCTGTCATCTTGTTGCTATGCTGATTCGCATATCTGAACTGTTATTTCTGTGAGAACCTCTAAAAGCTTCCCTGTTTCTTCTGTACCTCAGGTAAAAACATAGTCTCTTTGTCTATCTCTCCCACAAATAAAACTCAATCCCTCTGAATGTGAACTGACTTCAACTTGGTGTCAGGGTAAAGCAATCTGATTTATAGCTTTAAATTCTAAATAATGCTCCTTTAAAGCAGTCTTTAAATGCTTTTCTAAAAGCATTTAAATGTTTTTACATATTCTAAATAGAAATTTATATTCTGGCTCTAAAAGCGTTAAGTATAAAACGGTACAGTGAAAGATAAGTCACCTTGAGTCCTTGTCTGTCATTTACTGGTCTTCTCAGGCCCAGCCCCATGGAAATGACCCTTCTTAATGCCTTGCATGTCCATCCAGAGTCTGTTTTATGTTTACACAAGCAAATATAAATACTGATCCTCCTGCTTCACACTCAAGAAGTAGACTATGACATGCAATGCTCTCGTTGGTGTGTATGTGGTGCTGGGGAGAACCCAGGGCTCGTCGTGTTAACCACATTCTCTACCACTGAGCTATGCCCCAGCCCTCTCGCTTAAAAGAAATCTTGTATGTTTTTCCACATTTTAATAAACAGTAATTGATTATTCTCTAAAGCAGCATAATATTTTGGTAAATGGGTAAATAAGCCTAATTAATTTAGCAATTTGTGTTGTTTCTAAACATTTTCTATTAGAAACAATGCTGCAGAGAACAAACTTGTTTTTATTGTGTCTATGTCATAAAACACACTTTTCTAAGCACATACAATTTCTTTTCTTTTTTTTTTTTTTTGTGGGACTGGGGTTGAACTCAGCTTCATCCTTACAAAACAGAGGCTGTACCACTTAAGTCACAGCTCCTGTCCATTTTACTCTGATGATTTTGGAATGGGGTATTGCAAAGAATTTGCCCAGGCTAGCTTGAAACCAGTCCTCCCAATCTCAGCCTCCCAAGTAACTAGAATTACAGGCATGAGCCACTGGCACCCAGCTAAACACAGAAAATTTCTTAATAGTCACATCTGTTGACTCCTGATCTGCCGCTGCTATTTTTCCTAAACCATTCTAGAAATACTAGGTAATTTAGCATTTCATTTAGAAAGGTTAAAAATATAGCAAAATTAGAAAGTACATATTCATGCTATATAATAACTAGATAACAAATCAATAGCAGGGAAAGAATTAAATGGCTATTATAGCCAAACCAAAAAATTCTGAGGTTTTATTATTAATCATCCTAGAGTATGTAAGTGGCAAATTAAATATGCATATGCATTGATATGTGGTATATTTTATGTGTAATCTTTAGATGGTACAGATAATGTAAGGGTTCATTAAGAGTGATTATTGGCTAATTCTGCAGTGAGTATTGAGGCTCAGGAATGTGACTAATCCAAAGTCACACACCCAAAATTAAAATCCAGCTCTGCAGCATTTTATCTACATACCCTCTTGCCTCTATATAATGTGTACAAATGCATGTTCACATTTGATGTTCATGTGTATTATCCATTCATATTGAATATTATACATCAGCACAAATATATACACATGATTTAACTTCTTTCAAAGGACTCTCAAAGTTTTATTATATAGAGAATATATAAAACTTGTATAACCATACATATAAGGTTTTTTCAGACAGAATCTCTCTATGTGGACCAGGCAGGTTGGCCTCAAACTTGAGATCCTCTGGCCTCAGCCTCCTGAGTATGTGCTGAAATTATAGGTATGTGCCACTATGCCTGGCTCAAAGTTGTTATCTTTTTTTTTCTTTTTTTTTGATGGGACTGGGGTTTGAACTCAAGGAATTGCACTTTGCAAACCAGAAGCTCTACCACATGAGCCACACCTCCAGTCCATTTTGCTCTAGTTATTTTGGAGATGGGGACTCAAGAACTATTTGTCCAGGCTGGCCTCAAACTTTGATCCTCACAATCTCAGCCTCCCAAGTAGCTAGGATTATAGGTGTAAGCCACTGGCACCCAGCTAAATTGTTATCTTTAAATACTTACAATAATCCATGAAATAGAGCAGTTCTAATGAATTCATTTTAAACCACAGTGCAGTGTCTAGGTTATTAATTTTAACATTAATAGTACAGGAACTAATGTAAGAATTTCTGTCACATAATATAGACCTCAGAGTGAGCAGACTTAGATTTCAAGCACCACTTGTTTATTTCCTAGCTATGCAATCTTAGCAAGTTGCTTTACCTCTTTCAGTCTAAGTTTCCTTCATTCAAAAGAAATTAAGCAGCTTGGGTTGTAGCTTAATATTATAGCACTTGCCTAGCAAGTGCAAGGCCCTGAGTTCAATCCCCAGTAGTGGAGGGGAAAAAGAAAGAATAAAAGAAAAGAGAAAAAAATTAAGCTAAGCAAAATGAGTGAACACTGTCCGTAATTTTATTATTTTCATTAGCATAATCTTATTACCAGTCCTGTCATGTTTTAATCATTTTATATTACAAAGACTATTTTAGGAATCATAAACTGTTCATGATATGTAAATCTGTTGGTAATTTATGTAAAATTATGCTGAAGAATTAAATAATGGTTGCTAAAATAGAAGTTTGCCCCAGAAGTCCCTGAAGGTTCTTCCATAAGATACCCAGTTCCCAACAGAAAGGTGGTAGAACACAGTAGGTAAAGGGCAGGTGGCTGGGGATTACAGTCATTGTCAGATTTTGCTGCCTCATCCTGACTAAGACCAATGGAAAGTACCTGATTCTACCAGAAAGGAGAAAGACCCCACAGCCAGGCTTGACAGCTGTGATCCCAAAGTTGGTGTCATCCATTGTTGTTTTCAAGGTCACTGTTTCCAGAGAGGTGATAGTTTGGAAGAAAAAGAAATGTGCCCATTTGCTGTGGTTCGTGATCAGCCACGCCTACTTGGAATTGTTGCAGATTCCAGGGGAAATTCTTCTGGATGTGCTGCCACAGACCCTAAGATTTTCTGAGATTGGAGTTTTTACTCCAACTCTGACAAATGCATGCCCGACACACACCTGGCTGGACATGAAGTTTCATATCACAGGACTTTAGGATAAGTCACTTGCTGAATGGTATAATTTGAAATTTTATCCATTTGCTTGCAATAAGTTGGGAAAGAAAGGTGGTATTGTGTAATTTAGAAAAACAAAGTTCTAATGCTAAATGTTTATCCACTAAGATTTTTTTTCTAGAAATCATTACTAGCACAAGGAAGTTACACTGTGAAAATTTCAGATACATATAATGTACTTTGGACAAATTCTATTATATTCCCTTTGCCTCCTTATCCACTAAAGGATGATGATTGGAGCAAAAATGCTTTGCTAGTGAATGTACAGATTTACTCTACATCACTACTTTTGTTGTTGTTAAGAGTTACACTGCTGTTCAAATCAATTAAAGTTTCAGATAATTACTCTGTAGGTTTTCAAACTCTGATACCTGTTCTTAGCTTCATCATTCCTTCTTTCCCAGTGTCAGAGTCCTTTTACCCAGGTGTACCCTTCATCTTTGATCATCTTGTCCAGTATTTATCATTTATTGAGGACTTGATCTAGCCATTACTTTGTTATTCCTCCCAAATCATGAAACGGAACTCTATGAGGAAACTAAAGCTCAGAGAGGTTAGGGATCTTTCCTAAGTTGTAGGGTAACTAAGCAGGACCAGTGCTGATCCTCATGCCTCTCAGATCCCATAGATTGTCCCTAACTCTACTCTTAACCCACATGCTGGCTGCCT